GTATAAATAAACTAGCCTTCTTTCAGGAATTCCATTCTCTTATTGGCTACACTGCTCATTATCTATTTTGTTGTAGATAGTGGGTACTGTAGCTATTTCTATGCGTGATTGTTGGCTCTGGCTGTGCCCTCATCACTATCATACGGTAGAAATCTTGTAAATAAATCTAATTATTGTTATATATCCATGTGTTCCTGAATGTAGTAGCATTTTGATTACAGTTACCCTTTCTGTATATTCAAGATAAAGAAACAATTTTCCATCATACATGTATATTATCTAAAACTGGAGATAAAACATAGATCTGTGGTCCGTTAACACACTAAAAATTGGTATAGGTAATCGTATGAATGCGAGTGCAATAATTATGAGTGATATTTGAAAATTCTCTGAAAATTGCACGTCGAGCCTTTAGACGAATGCAATTTGAAAGAATTTTCAAATATCAAGAGTAGTGTAAATGATCCTTAATTACTCGAGCTGTCATACGATTACTCATTATATGACTGAGAAAATTGCAAATGTCCATGCATTAATTTGCACTGCAGTGCAAATTAAGAATTAACCATAAATTGGCCTGCTCTCAGCTAATCACAATGAATGAATTTTCTTGGTAATATAATAATGTATAAACTACAAGCTATATGTAGTTCAAATAATTATGTGGTTCTGCGCACCACTTATTTTACTTTACTGGACACTTCTCATAATATTGACATGCCCTGCACCTGGTTCCTCTCCCATAACTGCACTTGCCACCGCTCTTAATTTTATCTGACTGATTTTATTTGCACCTTACTGTGCACTATTAGTAATTAAGAGTCCCTGCCCATAAATATGGAAGATAACTCGGCAAGGGTCAAAAATTTGATTTCGCTCATATTTTTACAGTAGATAGGCTAGGGCATGACAAAAGCTACTGGATAGTTTTTTTGGCAAAATATCCTTTTATTTCAATTCCGTTAAAATCGTCATTTGACGCTCCATTTTATTAAACAAGTTTGAGAGCCTCGCATGCAAAACGACATCATTCTTCTGTCTTTAAAACACTCAAATATTTTTGTGCAATGTTTAATTATGTACTAGGTTGATTTTATGGAATGTTGTGGTTTTTGTCGGGTGCAAAATAATTAAATTTCGAAGACATGTATTTCATTCACTTAAAAATACTTCGTAAAAATAATTGA